TCCCAAGAATAGTCAGTCCATTCCCTTTCTATGCCCCTGATTCTATTATAATCACCAGTTCAGCCCGCTCGCCAGTCCCTGCCCACCCGAGCCTGCTGCACATGCTGCCTGGTGTTTGGTCATCCATTCAGTCATTTTGGATGTTACGGATCCTGGCTCTCTCTAGATATAGATATAGGTATAGGTATAGGTATAGGTATAGGTATAGGTATAGATATAGATATAGATATAGATATAGATATAGATATAGATATAGATATAGATATAGATATGTTGGGTGCTTTCCTTTTTTATTTCATACTTTTAAATCCTCACTGGCGCATATGTTTTTATTGATTTTAGAGAGATAGGAAGTGGGAGCGGAGGAGGGGAACACTTATTGGTTGACTCCCTTTCATATCCCAATTGGGAATTAAACACTAAATTGGGCCTGGGGCCTGACCTGAAACTGAACCCACCAACTTTTTTTTTTTTTTTTTTTGGTGTTTAGGTATATAAATCCTTTATAAATTTTGGGTATTAACCCCTTTTCAGATATTTCTTTTCAATTAATTCATTGATGAATATGTTCTCCCTTTTAGTTGTTTGCCTTTTTATTTTGTTGATGGTTTCCTTTTAGTTTGATGTAGTTTCATTTGTTTATTTTTTCTTTTGTTTCTCTTTCCCAAGGAGATATATGAAAAGTGATATTGCTAGGAGAAATATCCAAGGTATTACTGCCATTGTTTTTATCTAGGATTTTTATGGTTTTGAGTCTTATATTTAAGTCCTTCATGCATTTTTCTGTATTCTGGTGTAGGTGTAAGAAGCTGTTCTAATTTCATTTTTTTGCATTTTCCCAGCAACATTTATTGAATATACTATCTTTATTGTATGTTCTTGCCTACTTTGTTAAGTAAGTATTCTTTCACTGTAAAGGCATGCATTTATTTCTGGGCTCTCTGTTCCGTTCCACTGATTTATATGCTGTTTTTATGCCAGGACCATGCTGTTTTGATTACTATGGCCTTGTAGTAAAGTTGGATATTAAGTAGTATGATTCATCCACATTTGTACTTCTTTCTCAAGATTGCTGTTGCTATTGAGGGTATTTTGTGGTTCCATATAAAATTTTTGAGTATTTGTTCTAGTTATGTGAAATACACCATTGGTATCTTGATAGGAATTACATTGACTCTATAGATTGGTTTACGTAGTATGGACATTTGGTGATATTAATTTTTCCTATCCACAAACAACATATATGCTTCCACTTATAATTTACATTTAATTTCATTTTGTATGTTTCAGGTGTAGAACATAGTGTTTAGACAAATATTGCAGAGTTTTCTGCCTGATATTTTCAGTACCCCCCGCCTCCTAATGTATTTTGTCATCATGTGCTGTTTCAACATAAAAATGTAGCGGATTTTAATAAAGGCCTTATACATGCCAAGTTTTAAATTGTTCCTCAGGTCTAGGCCCTGGTTACATTGTTAAATTCCACCGGAAAGACTTTTTTGCGTGTGATCTATGGTTTCAATATATGTGTCTATATGTCCTAAAAATCATGTGTAGAGGACTTTTGTAGAGGGCTAAGTTGTCCTGTCTTGCTCATGCCTGAGCTCTAACTCTAACTTCTTTTTTTTAAAAAATATATTTTATTGATTTTTTTACAGAGAGGAAGGGAGAGGAATAGAGAGTTAGAAACATCGATGAGAGAGAAACATCGATCAGCTGCCTCCTGCACATCCCCCATTGGGGATGTGCCTGCAACCAAGGTACATGCCCCTGACTGGAATCGAACCCGGGACTCCTCAGTCCCCAGGCCGACGCTCTATCCAGTGAGCCAAACCAGCCAGGGCTCTAACTTCTTATCTCCATGAAATGAAAGAGGAAAAAGGTCAGAGTTACTAATATAAAAACAAATGATCATTCATACTCCTCCACAAGAATATTTTCATTCATTCACATGTATCTACTTCTAATAATCTGGAGTACTTCAGTACAATATGGCCAGGCACATTTTGTTCCAAGTTGAATTTCCACACACCGCTTGGCCTCTCCTGTTTGGTGATGAGAATAGAAGAGAAAGCTACCAGGCCTTTATTGTATTCAAAATCATGAAAACTTTATGCAGACATGACACTATGTTTCCTAGACTGTTGCATCAAATGGTGGTTATAATGAAGATGAGTTTTCACATAAGGAATCGATGCTTTCAGTATAGATGTATTTGAGTTAATTATATAGAACTTGTTCAAGGTGCTTTTTACCTTGACATTAGAGAGCAATGAACACTTGAAGTGATCACAGTAAAATCATATCAATAAATTTCATGTGTTCTTGAGGAAGTGAATGCAGCAAATTACTAATAGTCTTACAATCAAGTAATAGACTGAATGTTGGGTACCACATGTCCCATGTGAACTTCTTATGAATTATGTATAGATCCCCAGTGCTGTCATACCCATTCTTCTATATGTATATGTGGGATGTTTTAGGACTCAGTGGCCTTTGAGGATGTTAATGTGGAGTTCACCATGGAGGAGTGGGCTTTCCTGGATCTGACCCAGAAGAAACTCTATACAGATGTGATGCTGGAAACCTTCTGGAACCTGGCATCAGTAGGTAGGTATCACATAATCTTTCTTTCTTTCTTTCTTTCTTTCTTTCTTTCTTTCTTTCTTTCTTTCTTTCTTTCTTTCTTTCTTCTTAATATTTTTATTGATTTCAGAGAGGAAGGAAGAGGGAGAGAGAGAGATAGAAATATCCATGATGAGAGAGAATCGTGGATTGGCTGCCTCCTGCAAGTCCTCCACTGGGGATCGAGCCCACAACCCAGGCATGTGCCCTTGACTGGAATCGAACCTGGGACCTTTCAGTTCAGAGGCCAACACTCTATCCACTGAGCCAAACCAGCTAGGGCACACATTCTTTTTTAAAATATATTTTTATTTATTTTATTTTATTTTATTTTATTTTAATTTTGCAATATTGGTATTTTTATTGATTTTAGAGAGGGAGGAGAAGGAGAGAAATAGAGAAAAATCAATGATGAGAGAGAATCACTGATTGGCTGCCTTCTGTGTGCCTCACACTGACGATCTGCAAACCAGTCCTACTGGGAATTGACCTGTGACCTCCCGGTTCATATGTTGATGGTCAACCACAGAACGACTCTGCCCTGAAACAACTTGTTACTTATTTAGTCAATTAGATAACTAGAGTTGGTTGCTCATCAATGCTGTTATGCCATTTCAAGAACTGAAATTTGGAAAAGGAATACATTGGTAATTAACTGGGAATAATCACAGCTCTTTGTGTACCTAAAATCTAACCATTTTTAATATTCTTTAATAGTTCATAATCCTTTTTCTAGCATGTATTTTAGAAGTAAAATGTGAAGACCGTGACAGTGGAGATCAATATGAAAGTCATGGGATGAATCTTAGGTGAGTCACTTTGTTTGAGAAAGCATTAAGAGCATCTTTGTGTTTTTTTTTTAATGTTTTTATATATTTTATTTATATATTTAATATTTTAAAACAATAATTTCAGAGAGCTAGGGAGAGGGAGATAGAGAGACAAACATCAGGACAAACATTCCTGCCCATGCCCCACACTCAGAATCAAGCCCAGACCTGGGCATGTGCCCTGAATGCAAATTGAACTGTGACCTCCTTGTTCAGAGGTCAGTGCTCAAGCACTGAGCCATGCCAGTGGTGTAAAATACGTTTTTATAGAAACATCGATTGGCTGCCACCTGCATGTCCTGTAGTGGGGTGAATAAATCTGCAGTCTGGCTGTTTCCTTTTGGGGAATTGAACTGGCAACCCCCTGGTGTGTGGGTCCATACTGAACCACTGAGCCACATGGGCCTGGTGCAAACAGAATCTTAAAAACAGGTAACCCAATTGTATCAGCTCAGTTTTAAATTTATTGATTCTTCAAATAATCTCAACATGTTTTTTTTTCTGAAATAAGACCTATGTTTAGTGTATAAAAAATAATTGCATTTGGAAACAACGTACAGAAGTACCATTAACCCTTTTCGGTCCAACATGGAGGCTGACTCGACAGACCAGGTGCTAGGAGCAGGTCCAATGTCGAGGCTGAGGTCGACACCGCAAACCGGTTCAACATTCAATCCCATCAATTAATTTGGACCAGACTGTTTGAATTCCAAAAATAAAATTGGACCGCAAAGGGTTAATGACTGTAACTGTTATCATAATGTCTATGATCCAGCCTATTTCAGAGGTTTTAGGATATCCACTTTCAAATAATAAAAATGTACAGAAACCCTGAACTTTCTTTGAAAACAGTAAAAATGTCATTGTCATACTATTAATAAATATGAAATCATTAACAAAGTATTAATAATATGCTTCTAACTTTTACAGCAATCATAAGGTAGAGAGACTGTGTAAATGGAAATATGGTTGTCAATTCAGAGAAAACTTCAGCCAGATTCCAAATCATAATGAGAAGATGGAAACTCCTACTGAAATTAAACAACCTAAATCCAGGTTGTGTAGGCAAATATTCATGCATTATTTATCCTTGAATAACCACCTGAGCTCTCACATTGGACCCAAACTACACCTGTGTCAGGAATATGAAGAAAACCCTTATAAATGTAAGGGACCTGAGAAAGCTTTCAAGCCTCACCAACATATTCAAAGACATGAAGGCAGCCCCAGTGACAAATCTTTCCACTATTCAACTTCCCATAGAAAGCACGAAAGAACGCATATTGCTGGGAAACCGTTTAAGTGTAAGCAATGTGGGAAAGGCTTTAATCATCTCATTTACTTTAAACTTCACAAAAATACTCATACCGGAGAGAAACCATATCAAAGTAAGCAACGTGGCAAAGCTTTCAGGTCTCCCAAGTACTCTCGAGAAAATGAAAGCGCACACACTGGAGAAAAGCCCAATCAGTGTAAGAAATCTGGAAAAGCTTTCAGTTCCACTTCTCTTAGAAATTCTGAGAGAACTCATACTGGTGAGAAACCTTATAAATGTAAGCAATGTGGTAAAGATTTCTCTCATCGAACTTCCCTGCATTATCATAAAAGAACACATACTGGGGGAAAACCCTATGAATGTAAGCAATATGGTAAAGTTTCCTCTCATTCAGCTACTCTCCAAAAGCATAAAATCATTCATACTGGGGGAAAATCCTATAAATGTCAGTATTGTTATAAAGATTTATCTAATCGAACTTCCCTCCTACGTCATGAAAGAATTCATATTGGGGAAAAACCCTATAAATGTCAGCATTGTGGCAAAGCTTACTGTGATCGAGGTGCCCTCTGTCGTCATGAAAGAACTCATACTGGGGTAAAACCCTATGAATGTAAGTATTGTGGTAAAGGTTTCAATTATCCATCTTCTCTCCAAGGTCATGAAAGAATTCATACTGGGGAAAAACCCTATGAATGTAAGCATTGTGGAAAAGCCTACAGTTATCCACAGTCCTGTCAAAGGCATGAAAGTACACACACTGTCAAAACGCGCCATGTATGTCAGAAATGTGGTAAGGCTTTCAGTCTTTCTGCATATCTTAGAGATCATGAAACAATACATACTGGGGAGAAACCCTTTGACTGTAAGCAATGTGGGAGATCTTTTAGATATTCCAGTTCTCTTAGAAATCATCGAAGAATGCATACTGGGGAGAAACTCTACAAATGTAAGGAATGTGAGAAAGCTTTCTATTCTGCCAGATGTCTTAGTAAGCATAAAGTATCTCATCATGGAAAAAAGCCTCATGAATGTAAGGAATGTGGTAAAACTTTCCTTTATCCCTATTTGCTTAGAAATCATGAAAAACATCATGCTTAGGGAAAACCCTATGAATGTAACCATTGTGATAAAGCTTTCTCTTATCCAAGTTCCCTCTAACATCATGAAATAACTCATAATAAGGAAAAACCCTATGACTGTAAACCATGGGCCAAACCCTTTATTCATCCCAGTTCCCTTCAAAATCACAAAAACACTAATAGTGGAGAGATATCAAAATGAATGAAAGAACTCACACTGAAAATAAGCCCTATCATTTAAAGACTGTAGAAAAGCCTTTGACCATCCTAGTTTCTTTCTCTCTTTTTTAAATACTCACCTGAGGATATTTTTCCGTTGAGAGAGTGGAAGTCAGAGAGAAAGACAGAGCAATAGTGATGTGACAAAAACATATCAATTGGTTGCCCTCCTTCACATGCCTAGATATTTAAGGACACAAAGTGTGGAGAAAAGCTCTATGAATGTAAGGAATGTGGTAATGTTTTCAGTTTTTCCAAGTCTCTTAGAAAGCATGGAAGAACACACTCTGCGGAAAAACCTTATGAATGTAAGCAATGTGGGAAACCTTCAGTTGTGTCACACATCTTGGAAGACAAAAGAAGACATGATGGGGGAGCCTGGAAGATGGTGGCATAGGTAAACACCTGTACTTGCTGCCTCTCACAACCACACCAAAACTCAACTAAAAGATAAAATAAAAGATAAAATAACTATCATCCAGAACTGCAGGAAGCTGCCTGAGTGGAAGTTCTACAACTAGAAGGAAAGGAGACTGGTAGGAGATGCGGAGGCACGTGGAACAGGCTGGCGACCGGGTGCACTATTTTTTTTTTTTTTTTTTTTTCAATCAGGAGGGAGATACAAGCTCCCGATTGCTCTGAACTCCAGTTCCGGGATACACTCTGGTTACCCAGACTCATACAGGGAAAAACTGGACTGTCTGGCATTGGGTCAGAACATAAGGGCTGCTTTCTCTGAGTTGCTCACAGTGATCATTGTTCCTGTGGTGGAAGGGTTGGGGGTGGGCACAGGATGTGGAGATTCGGGGACCTCTCCGGTGTAGAGCTGACTGGCAGCTATTGCTGTTTGCTCTGCCCTTGTGATTCCCTGAGTACTCACCCCACCCAAGTTACAACCCCACCCAAGCTGTGCGCTGTGGCTTTTGCCTATGAATTGCCTGTCTTTACTCAGCCTGAAACCTATCAAAGGGCAGCTGGGTCAGAGAGCACCTAAGCTTACAAAAGAAGGCCTAAGGCTCGGCAGCAGCCTGCATTGCTACACAGCTCGGCCTCATCCGGGCACCTCCAAACCCCAAAGAGGAGGAATCTGCAGATGTCTCTGTAGCTCCTGCTGGGTGGCCTCAGGCAGTGGCTGACTTTGCACCTCCGTGGAGATCCAAGTCCCAGTGTACCCAGTGGTCAGTGTGAGACCATACCAGATTACAACTATTCACATCCATAATCGACACACTCAAGTGGCAGACTGAGTGAGCACCAAAGCCCCATTAGGGTGTCTGCTGCATAGCAGTTCTTCCATTGCAGACACAGCTGGTTCTAACAGCCAGTTGGCCAGGAGGTCAATTGCTCCCAGTGATAGCAATAGCAATCAAGGCTTAACTACAACAAGACTGTGAACCCATCCTACAAAGGGATGCACCAAGAGTGTCCACCCCAGGTGATTGGGGATGCAGAGCCACTGGGCATTATAGGACACCTACCACACAAGGCCACTATCAACACAGGGAAGCAGCCAAACTACAGAAAGAAAGAAACATGTCACAAAATAAATAAATGGAGGAAAGTAAACTACTGGCTATATAGTTCAAAACTGTGGTTATAAGGTTACTCAAGAATCTTCTAGAAACCTCGGAGGAACTGTTCTATTATAGTTTCTATGCATTATGGAGTCATTGTGTCTAGTTTCTCTACCATATTATAGATGAAGGAAATGATCTTCACCTGAGGTTGTAATAGCCATCATGTAATTTGTTCTCTCCAAGTTCCAGGCACTGTTTTTAAAAATTGGCATATATATATATTCCAGTCAGTGTAGCTCAGTGGTTGAATGTCAACCTACATACCAGGAGGTCACGGTTGGACTCCTCCTCAGGGCATATGCCCTCTTTGAAGTCTTGATCCCCAGGATGCAGCCAATCAATCATTCTCTCTTATCATTGATGTTTCTATGTCTCTCTTCCTCTCCCTTCGTATTTGAAATCTACAAAAATATATTTAAAAGAAATAAGAGAGCCCTAGCCAGTTTGGCTCAATGATTAGAGTGTCAGCCTGTAGAACAAACGGTCCCTGATTTGATTCCAGTCAAGGGCACGTACCTTGGTTGCAGACTCCTCTCTGGCTGGGCTCATGCAGGAGGCAACCAATCAATGTGTTTCTCTAACATCGATGTTATGTCTTTCCCTCTCTCTTCCATTCTCCAAAAAAATCAGTGGAAAAATAAGAAAATAAAAAAGGTTAGTTTGGTATTTCTTCATTTTGTCCTATGCCCTCCCATGGGAAGCATTGAATGAATGTGCCTCACCTATATATATATATTCTACCTTAACAGAAAAGTGCCTTTCAGTAACCCAAAGAGGTTTACTCCATTTTCTTGTCAATAAATGTTTCTGTAATATTTCAATTGCAGTTGACATTCAGTATTATTTTAATCAATAAATATTTGTTATCTATTTGTAAGTTTGTAAAGTGCACTGTAGAGTCCAATGTGAGTTATTTTCATCTACGTCCTTTGCTTGCCACTGCTTTTGGCTGGGTTTGAACTACGATGATTGCATTAAGAGGAGAATACCTGTGATAGGACAATAAGATCTAGAGTCAGAGATGACCCTTCCTGACTGTTAGGTCAGTGTGAGGAATGTTGTGAACTACATTTTGCACAATCTGGTGCTTCTATGGTTCCGTGTTAGAAATCACCAAGGCCTCACTTCCATGTAACTTGAATGCAGAGGTGAAATAGGATTAGATTGGTTTTGAATCCACTTGTATAAAGGAGATGGCTAGAAGCATAGAGCTTTTGTGTACATTTGCTTTGAGTTTGTTTTCCTCAGTCTTTGCCCAGCCAGCCAAGAATATCCTCAAAACCACCAGCGACTGCTTCATTTCCCTTGATGTTGGGTGTAAGCTTTACAGATGTTCACAATTCAACATTAAAGACCCAGCATAGGTTGGCTTTTCCTGCAAGCCCATAGGTGTCCACCGGGCAACAAATGCAGACTGCCATGGTTGGGGCTGTTTTCTGAAGGGTACGCACTGTTCTCTAGATTGCATTTGCATGAGGTCTAATTTGACTAGTAATCATCTTGTCCTGTTGGTTCTACTACTGACTGTGATTCAGATCCCACTGTGACAGCTGCAATGGTTCAGTGCCAAGGAGCCCCATGACAGTTTGTTCTTGTACCACCCTCTGCAGTGAGGGCTCTGAGCCAGTCCTTCCATGTGAGAATCGGCACTTTCTTCATTTCAGACAGACTCTTCATGGTGCTGTCACTCAGAGCTGAGCCTAATCTCTCAATGTTTTCAGTTATCGTGGGTTGTATGTAATTAGGATTATGTGCATTTTCCCCCTGTAATCAATGCTTCTGTACATTTTAAAGAAATATGTTTTCCAATCACTTTTATGCCGATAGCTACTGCATTTTATTATTTCCTGAGATATGTTTAAATGTCCCAATGTAATTATGTATTTTCGGATCAACATCCAATCTTTTTCATTTAATCATACAACCTGAGTTACAGTTATCACGTGTGTATAAATTCAGACATGTTTTCTCAGGGAAAATATTTTTTATATTTATTTGATACAGACTGCTTTCTTATTCGTTCAAAATATTAAAAACTTCAATCCTGTTTTTTTTGTTTGTTTGTTTTTACTTTGTTATTGTATTTTGCCTTGTAATAGATCATTTGTTTGCTATTCAGGGAAGCCAGACATTTTTTCTGCATTGGATTCTGTGATATTCTTTAGAAACCTGTTCTCTTTCATCAGGAATACAGACATGAATGCCTTTTGTGTGTGTGTCTTGATTCATTGTGGTCATGGAGTAGCTCTGTGTGATGATGGACATGTGTGACCTTTTCTTTTCAACCATGTATGTCTAGGACTGGCAGGGAGTGCAAGGCCTGCAACTCCTCTGGAACAGCTTTTGCCTTTCTTGTTATCTGAACACTGAAATATTTCCTAGAGTGTATTGGGTGCATTTCCAAAAAGTTTATATATATATTTTAATTATTTACTCCTTGAAAAGTATCTCCTCTATGGGTCAACTGAAGTTCATAAATTTAGGAATATTGTCAAGGAAAACAAGCCAACAAGAAGACAAAGTCAGGGTCTCTTCCAAAGAAGCTGTTTTTAGTGATAGAGTATGACTTACTTTTACAGTTTCTTTTTAAATATATTTTTATTGATTTCAGAGAGGAAGGGAGAGAGTGAGAGAGATAGAAACATCAATGATGAGAGAGAATCATTGACTGGCTGTGTCCTGCCCACCCCCTATTGGGGATCAAGCCTGAAACCTGGGCATGTGCCCTTAACTGGAATCTTACCCGGGACCCTTTAATCGGCAGGTCAATGCTCTCTCTACTGATCCAAACCAGCTAGAGCTCTCTTACTTTTTTCTTTTTTAATTTAATTGATTTGAGAAAGAGAGAGACAGAAATATCAATCATTCTATTTATTTATATTCATTGGTTTATTTTTGTGTGTGACCTGGGATTTAACCTACTATCGGCATATTGGGACGATGCTCTAATCATTCGAGCTTTCCGGCCAGGTTGAAAAACAACATGGTGATCCACTACACGACATTTTGGAAAAGGCAAAGGATTGGTCTGGCTGGTGTTGCTCAGTGGTTAGGTGTCAACCTATAAACCAGGAGGCCATGGTTCAATTTCCGGTCAGGACACACACCTGGGTTGCAGACTTGATTTCTAGTAGGGGGTGTGCAGGAGGCAGCTAATCAATGATTGTCATCTTTGACGTTTCTATATCTCCACTTCCCTTCTTTTTTTTTTTTTTAAATATATTTTATTGATTTTTTACAGAGAGGAAGGGAGAGAGACAGAGAGCCAGAAACATCGATGAGAGAGAAACATCGATCAGCCGCCTCCTGCACATCTCCCACTGGGGATGTGCCCGCCACCCAGGTACATGCCCTCGACCGGAATCGAACCCGGGACCCTTCAGTCCGCAGGCCGACGCTCTATCCACTGAGCCAAACCGGCTTCGGCTCCATTTCCCTTCTTAAATAAAAAAATATTTCAATAAGAAAAGAATAGGTAAAGGTTTAGAGGGGCAGTTCTCAACCTGTGGGTCACGACCCCTTTGGGGGTCAAATGACCCTTTCACAGGGGTCGCCTAACTATCGGAAAACACATATACTTACATACTGTTTCTGTGATGAACCACTATGCTTTACTTATGTTCAATTTGTAACAATTGAACATAAGTAAAGCATGAGGAACTGTATTAAGGGGCCGTGGCATTAGGATTGTTGAGATCCACTGGTTTAGAGGAATCTCGAACAAATCCTGTATAAACAGCCACCATAATTGTGTTCCTTTGGGTTAATGGAGAGTTTTCTGTCTTGGTGGTGGT